CCTGGCCGTGACCCCACTCTCCAAGGGTTTCTCAGGGAGGGAAGGATATGCAAAAAAACACATTTCCAACAACCACGTGTATAATACACACTTATACAGTTGTAGTCGGAAGTTTACATACACTTAGGTTGGAGTCATTGAAACTCGTTTTTCAACCACTTCACAAATTTCTTGTTAACAAACTATAGTTTGGCAAGTCGGTTAGGACATCTACTTTGTGCATGACACAAGTAATCTTTCCAACAATTGTTTACATACAGATTATTTCACTTATAATGCACTGTATCACAATTCCAGTGGGTCAAAAGATTACATAAACTTAGTTGACTGTGCCTTTAAACAGCTTGGAAAATTCCAGAAAATGATGTCATGGCTTTAGAAGCTTCTGATAGGCTAATTGACAAAATTTGAGTCAATTTGAAGTGTACCTGTGGATGTATTTCAAGACCTACCTTCAAACTCAGTGCCTCTTTGCTTGACATCATGGGAAAATCAAAAGAAATCAGCCAAGACTACAGAAAAAAAATGGTAGACCTCCACAAGTCTGGTTCATCCTTGGGAGCAATTTTCAAATGCCTGAAGGTACCACGTTCATCTGTACAAACAATAGTACGCAAGTATAAACACCATGGGACCACACAGCCGTCATACCGCTCAGGAAGGAGACGCGTTCTGTCTCCTAGAGATGAACGTACTTTGGTGCGAAAAGTGCAAATCAATCCCAGAACAACAGCAAAGGACCTTGTGAAGACGCTGGAGGAACCAGGTACAAAAGTATCTATATCCACAGTAAAACGAGTCCTATATCGACATAACCTGAAAGGCCGCTCAGCAAGGAAGAAGCCACTGCTCCAAAACCGCCATAAAAAAGCCAGACTACGGTTTGCAACTGTACATGGGGACAAAGATCATACTTTTTGGAGAAATGTCCTCTGGTCTGATGAAACAAAAATAGAACTGTTTGGCCATAATGACCATTGTTATGTTTGGAGGAAAAAGGGGGTCGCTTGCAAGCCGAAGAACAACCGTGAATCCCAACCGTGAAGCACGGGGGTGGCAGCATCATGCTGTGGGGGTGCTTTGCCGCAGGAGGGACTGGTGCACTTCACAAAATAGATGGCATCATGAGGAAGGAAAATGATGTGGATATATTGAAGCAACATCAAGACATCAGTCAGGAAGTTAAAGCTTGGTCGCAAATGGGTCTTCCAAATGGACAATGACCCCAAGCATAGTTGTGGCAAAATGGCTTAAGGACAACAAAGTCAAGGTATTGGAGTGGCCATCACAAAGCCCTGACCTCAGTCCTATAGAAAATGTGTGGGCAGAACTGAAAAAACGTGTGCGAGCAAGGAGGCCTACAAACCTGACTCAGTTACACCAGCTCTGTCAGGAGGAATGGGCCAAAATTCCCCCAAATTATTGTGGGAAGCTTGTGGAAGGCTACCTGAAACGTTTGTAAACTTCTGACCCACTGGGAATGTGATGAAAGAAATAAAACCTGAAATAAATAATTCTCTCTACTTTTATTCTGACATTTCACATTCTTAAAATAAAGTGGTGATCCTAACTGACCTAAGACAGGAAACTTTTACTAGGATTACATTTCAGGAATTGTGAAAAACTGAGTTTAAATGTATTTGGCTAAGGTGTATGTAAACATCCGACTTCAACTGTACATGACAAATATAAGCAGCCACCAAATTATTATAATAAAATGATGATGTGTAAAGATCTGTTGGACTACTTTACGTGACTGGAACATTGTCCTCTATATCTAACCCAGTGTACAGTTTACTGTGGAAGAAGTATCAGTTATGCAGCTGTTTCCTCTGTCCATCCAGCTCTGGTGTCTGTGTTGGCTGATTTTACCATGGGTTCAAGGTTCACCACAACAGTAAGTCATTAGTACAATATTAGGTTAATGGTAGCATTAAGGGTGTAAGTCAACTCAAAGAATTGTGATAAATTAATTTACATTTCATTCATAAATTGAAAAAAAAATCATACAATTTTCCTGGACCCATGTTAGATCACATATCATCTCTGGTGGACAGACTACGTGTAACTTACTGTGAGAGGTGTTGTAACGTCTAACGAGCAACAGTTGTTTACAGGGAACAGGTTTTTCATCAGTGGTTATTTGAACAAATCACAATTTAGGGAATGTGCGGGTCCTTCGAAATTCTGAAGGGGAAGAACATTTGTCCCATAGACTTCACTTAACGATGGCCTTTTCTCACTTGGATTTCATTAACTCCTCCCATCCTCTCCTTGATGCCTTTTGAAAACATCAGAGAGGAGTGAGAAGAGGAAATGCACTTGTAAGAAATGAGACTCTCCTTCTCCACTAGCACGTTATCAGGCAAATTATGTTTACAGCAGGGTTGGGCTCAATTCAGAATTTTGAAATTGACTCCCGTTCAACTCATGAGTTAAAATTCGAATTGAATTGGCTACACAGGAAGTAGAATTTAATTCAGTGCAATTCAAAGAAATTACTCGGTCATAGAACATTTTCATTGAATCTGGCAGGTCACACTTCCAGATACCAAAGAATATATAACTTTCCTCTGGAAACAATGTTCATATACTCTTTTAACCAGGGGTGAAAGTAAGGCAGTACGGTCTGGTATGGCGTCCTGGCAAAATAAATAGTTGGGGTACACCATAGCGGTAAAATGTGAGCCTATCACTATTAATACAACATGCCCAAAAACCTATTACACCATTATTTAACATTACTGCATGTCAGCTGCATGAAACATTTGTGAATTGACTGGAAACCGGGTGGTATACTGCTCCAAATTGTGTTGTGGTTTGAGGAGAACACTTACATTTTGTGAAGGAGGAGATGAGTGGCAGAGATGCTCACTGACAAGGCTGAGACCGAGGCGGCATGGACAAACAGTGGATGAATCAATTCAGGCTACAAGTGTAGGCCTAATGACAATCGCAGAATGTCATTACAATACACGTAGGTGTTTTGTAACAGATGTCTCTTTCCATTCATCAAATTGCGGGTGCACAGTGCACTGTTGGGGTTTGGATGCTGAAGTTATTTTGTGAGTGGACAAACGTACGCGGGTAGCCTACAGGAGCACCTTTGTTAAGTGATTGTTTGACAATCAGATGAAAACATCATGACTGGTTGTGTTTATGCCACATTAAAATGCATAGGCGTCGTGTCCATAAGACTAGGGGAAGCTAAGCTTTCCCTAAAGTAAATTGAATTAAATTGCCAAAATGATATAGCCTAGTTAGTTTACTCCTGTCTATACAGAAATAAATACAATCATTCAGAATAGGCTACTACATCATAAAGCATGATTTGGCCACAGAGGAACATTAGATAAAAACATTGTTTTGAATTGCATAGCTTACAATTTGGCCAGTAGGTGCTGCAACTACCAAATAGATGATTGTTGAGTTGCTAATGTCAGTGAAAAGCAGAGAGACCCAGCCAGGCATATAGCAATATTTAAAAATACAATCGTAAAAAAACTGTTTGGAAAGCAAATTACTATTGCTGTAAAGAGATGACAATGGAAACACTCCAATCTGTCTTTTAGTTATCAAAATTGTTAACTGAATTGTGCGAACAGTAAGTAGCTTATCATATTGGCACTAGCGGAGAACATCGGCCAAATCCCCGGTGAGTGTGCATATTCACTGTCTTTGTCATTGGGTCAGTGCCACTTTTGTTTGTTTTTGGTTAATAATTTCCTCCTCCAGGTTAGATGGACGTCATATTGTATTTGTGTCTCTCCTTTTTGAAGGCCAATTATATGAATCAGACATCGTTTTTATTGATATGTTTGTCAGTGTCAGCAGAGTAGGCTACCCTGTAATTTTTGTAGTATAAAAAATAAATATGTGCGAGCACTTCGGTGTCCAGTACCTGTAAGAAATTAGATCTACTTTCACCCCTGATTTAAACCTGTTCCTTATAACAAGTTTGATGTTATATTGCTCCGTTCACGTGCTGGTCGGAACTCGGAAACTCTGAAATTTCGACATGCTAAGTGGTTGTAGTTATTATACAACCATAGGAGGTTGGTGGCACCTTAATTGGGGAGGACGGCTTGTGGTAATGGCTGGAGTGGAATAAGTGGAATGATATCAAATACATCAAACACATGCTTTGATGCCATTCCATTCGCTTTATTATGAGTCGTTCTCCCCTCAGCAGCCTACACTGTTATACACGTGCTGTATTCAACCAGCTAGCAAGTCGGAAATGTCAGAGTTTCCTATTTTCGACTAGCATGTGAACGCGGCATATGTACAAGATGTATATTTGTATTGACTACACCTAATATAGAATAGAAGAGGCATTTGAATTTCACAGAATTCAATTCTATTTCCTTTAATTCAAATTTGAATTGCAATGCTGTATCCTGTTTACTACATGTGTAAAGTGATACAAATAAATGTAGCTAGTTGTGGTAGACATTTTATAGATAAAAGGATAAGTAGCGTATCGTTTTGAAATGTATGCCTTTCTCAGAGAAAACAAAAGCTGTTTGAAAGCGGGTGTGGCTGATTTTAAAACTCTTCCGCTGGTAGGATACACCTGAGTGTCCTCTGTCGGAGGAGGCAATCAAGGTGAGGAAGAAACTCCTCTGTTCACCTATTAACCAATTGACACTCTCCTACATATGGCAACCACTTATCGATTTCCGGGTCACTGAGGAGAGGAAGACGTAGGAGGCGAGGAGATGATGAACTTTGACCTAATTGAGAAAAGGCCCGAAACTTGCAGAGCGAGGGGGTGGAGCTACCGCCCTACTTCCATCTCCTTGTTCTAGTATCTTTTCTCGTCTATCTCCCCCAGAACTTCGTCAAGTATCTGACGCAATTAAGCAAGATTTTTGTTCTGTGTTTCTGAGATTAGATCACTTATTATTGCTCAAAATACATTTGTTTGAATATCTACTTGAAAGTGAAAAAAGCATAATAAAATAAAAGTTAGATTAAGACTTTTTATTTTATTTTAGTACAAAACCCACAACATTGAAAATGAAAAGACTGGGTCAAATTTGCCCTTTGTCTTTAATGATGTCATTGGTTTGGAGAAAGGGAGTGGCAAAGGAGTACATGAAGATGATATCATCAAAGCACTGAAGGGACATGTAAAAGAGGGGTACAAGGTAAAATAAATCTTACCCATTTCTATTTGAATATACATTTTTTAAATAGTGAACACTATAAAAAGTTTGTTTTTTAAAAAATAGAAATCTAAGTTACCCTGCTGTGTTAAAATGTGTTATATTATGTCAACTCAGGAAATCAAGTGAAATTTTAGATTATCTAAAGTTGTAACAACTGAACATTTTAAGTCAGCAGGGTAACTCATCTTTATAAGTTGAAACACTATACTTTTTAAAAACAGTCTAATAATGTAGAGTGAGGCCATTTTCGCATATAAGAATTGTAATTTATCTTCAGTTGATTAAGGGAACTAAATATGATTTAATTTTGTCTGTGGCTAGTTCAACATGAATTATCCATTATCAGAGGAGGATAATGGATACAAGAAGTCTCCCAGTTCTAGTGACAGAGCCCACTGTCTAGTCAGTCCGATTCCAGCAGATACATTTACTCTCATGGATGATGATGTAATCAAGAAAATGAGGGCCATCAGATTAGTGGCTAGTGACATGGGTAAGTGGCCAGTTTCTTTTACTTCATTATAATGTTAAAGGGTCAGACAATCTACACGCTCTTTAAAGGGATAGTCTACTCAAATTAGAACAAAACATGGAATGCTGTGTGAATTGGCCATAACAGGATTTCAGGACTGTCAGGTTGTTTAAAAAATAAGAATTGTGGAAAATGGAATTGACCAAATACAGAGATTCTTTGTCATTATCAGTAGAATCTGACAAAACATTACCATGGACTCTTTTGCAGGGTTCCCCCAAGTGGTCATCCTCACCCATGTGGATATGGCTTGCCCAATGGGGAATAAAAACCTGAGAAACGGGTATAAAAGCAAGTATATATAAGGAGAAGGTGAGGCATGCTCCTGACCTTAAAAGTTAAGCCTAAGATTAAAGTTAGTTAGACCACCAAAGAGGTCTAAAGTTGATGTGAATCTACATTCCATGTCATTTGTTGTGTAGAGACCGTATGCATTAGAATAAATCTGCAGGTCCCTTTGAGGCCTGCAGATTTCTGCATACACCTAGATATAACAGATGGTTTGACACATGGATTCAACTAAACTAAAGACAACTTGTATGAAAATAGTTTATTTTGTAAAAACTATAATATTGTACATTTCTACTTTCCTATAGTGGATTTAGTCAGTTGACTCAAGCTGTAGTGAAATGTGTAATTAGCTACCATTCTACTATTTCTGTACCGTGAAACAAAAGTGCTAACACTCATTTTATGCTTTCGTTGAAGATGGAGGAGTGCAGTGCAAGACTGGGAGTCCCAGTGAACTGCATCCTGCCTGTGAAGAACTACCATGAGGAGACCGACTTGAATGATGACATTGATGTTCTGCTGTTGGGAGCACTTGAGCAGATAGTGGATTTTGCGGATGAATTCTCAAAGGACATCCCACTATCCGGTGCCATGGCTGTGCTGGTCCCTCTGGGTCACTAACTTTCGGTGTTTTTCAAGTTCTGTGAACTAATCATCAGAGGAGCCTACAGGCTACTGAGAGATTTGAAACGCTGAACGGAACCCTGTACCAGCACAAGAATGTGCTCAGAATCAATAGAATCAAACTGGATTTTACAGTGATCCTGAGCATGGTTTGGTCCATTACATTGTTGATGTTGTACAATCAATGTACATTTGAGATTGTTATGCAGAGCTGATCCTGTATAGGTCAAAGCATGACCCTGAACGCGTTTGAAACAAAGATGTTAGATTGTATGTGCAGTTTCTAAAAGCATCTTCAAACCAATTGTTTTGTTGAATGACCTTTCCCCGCTATTTAATATTTTGACTTGTATTCCTTCCTTTGAAAAAATAATTGCAAACTGTTGTTGTAAATAGGGAGCTTGACTTGTATCAGTGACAACAAGGTACTGTATGTAATCCTTTAACATGCTTAGTTTGGGAAAAAAAGATGGGTTGTTACTATCGTCTGGACATTAGTCTTATACAGTGGGGAAAAAAGTATTTAGTCAGCCACCAATTGTGCAAGTTCTCCCACTTAAAAAGATGAGAGAGGCCTGTAATTTTCATCATAGGTACACGTCAACTATGACAGACAAATTGAGATTTTTTTTCTCCAGAAAATCACATTGTAGGATTTTTTATGAATTTATTTGCAAATTATGGTGGAAAATAAGTATTTGGTCACCTACAAACAAGCAAGATTTCTGGCTCTCACAGACCTGTAACTTCTTCTTTAAGAGGCTCATCTGTCCTCCACTCGTTACCTGTATTAATGGCACCTGTTTGAACTTGTTATCAGTATAAAAGATACCTGTCCACAACCTCAAACAGTCACACTCCAAACTCCACTATGGCCAAGACCAAAGAGCTGTCAAAGGACACCAGAAACAAAATTGTAGGCCTGCACCAGGCTGGGAAGACTGAATCTGCAATAGGTAAGCAGCTTGGTTTGAAGAAATCAACTGTGGGAGCAATTATTAGGAAATGGAAGACATACAAGACCACTGATAATCTCCCTCGATCTGGGGCTCCACGCAAGATCTCACCCCGTGGGGTCAAAATTATCACAAGAACGGTGAGCAAAAATCCCAGAACCACACGGGGGGACCTAGTGAATGACCTGCAGAGAGCTGGGACCAAAGTAACAAAGCCTACCATCAGTAACACACTATGCCGCCAGGGACTCAAATCCTGCAGTGCCAGACGTGTCCCCCTGCTTAAGCCAGTACATGTCCAGGCCCGTCTGAAGTTTGCTAGAGTGCATTTGGATGATCCAGAAGAGGATTGGGAGAATGTCATATGGTCAGATGAAACCAAAATATAACTTTTTGGTAAAAACTCAACTCGTCGTGTTTGGAGGACAAAGAATGATGAGTTGCATCCAAAGAACACCATACCTACTGTGAAGCATGGGGGTGGAAACATCATGCTTTGGCGCTGTTTTTCTGCAAAGGGACCAGGACGACTGATCCATGTAAAGGAAAGAATGAATGGGGCCATGTATCGTGACATTTTGAGTGAAAACCTCCTTCCATCAGCAAGGGCATTGAAGATGAAACGTGGCTAGGTCTTTCAGCATGACAATGATCCCAAACACACCGCCCGGGCAACGAAGGAGTGGCTTCGTAAGAAGCATTTCAAGGTCCTGGAGTGGCCTAGCCAGTCTCCAGATCTCAACCCCATAGAAAATCTTTGGAGGGAGTTGAAAGTCCGTGTTGCCCAGCGACAGCCCCAAAACATCACTGCTCTAGAGGAGATCTGCATGGAGGAATGGGCCAAAATACCAGCAACAGTGTGTGAAAACCTTGTGAAGACTTACAGAAAACGTTTGACCTGTGTCATTGCCAACAAAGGGTATATAACAAAGTATTGAGAAACTTTAGTTATTGACCAAATACTTATTTTCCACCATAATTTGCAAATAAATTCATTAAAAATCCTACAATGTGATTTTCTGGATTTTTTTTCCTCATTTTGTCTGTCATAGTTGACGTGTACCTATGATGAAAATTACAGGCCTCTCTCATCTTTTTAAGTGGGAGAACTTGCACAATTGGGGGCTGACTAAATACTTTTTTTTCCCACTGTAAGTCTTATCACATCAAATGACAGGCTGCTTTTAGACAGGCAGCCCAATTCTGATATTTTTTTCACTAATTGGTCTTTTGACCAATCAAATCATCTCTGAAAAAGATCTGATGTGAAAAAAGATCTGTGATTGCTCAAAAGACCAATTAGTGTAAAAAAAAATATCAGCATTGGGCTGCCTGTGTAAACGCAGCCAAAGTGTCAAATGGGGATCAAATTCCTTCAATAGGAGCAGCACCTACTTTTATCAGTTTGATGTGACACAAGTGAAAGTAAGATAGCATACTGTGATTATACAAGTTTGTCTCATGACCTCTTCTGACTTTCAACATTATGATAAAAATATCACTCAAGTAGGTCTTGCCCAAATCAATTACTTTAAATGTTAGAATGAAAAATATCAAATTCCTCCCATGGGAGCAGAGAGGTTTTCCTTGAGTTGGCCTGACAAATTTGAGATCAAATGTATGTTATTGTGTGGTAGAATAAAATATTTACAATAAGTAATGCACTCTTTATTAAAACATATACTAAAATATAAACGCAACATGCAACAATTTCAACGATTTTACAGAGTTACAGTTCATACAGTGCCTTGCGAAAGTATTACATGGATTTTTTGTAATGCACATACACAAAATAGTCCAAATTGGTGAAGTGAAATGAAAAAAATAAAAATTTTCAAAAAATTCTAACAAATAAATAACAGAAAAGTGGTGCGTGCATATGTATTCAACCCCTTTGATATGAAGCCCCTAAATAAGATCTGGTGCAACCAATTACCTTCAGAAGTCACATAATTAGTTAAATAAAGTCCAACTGTGTGCAATCTAAGTGTCACATGATCTCAATATACAGTGGGGAAAAAAAGTATTTAGTCAGCCACCAATTGTGCAAGTTCTCCCACTTAAAAAGATGAGAGAGGCCTGTAATTTTCATCATAGGTACACGTCAACTATGACAGACAAATTGAGATTTTTTTTCTCCAGAAAATCACATTGTAGGATTTTTTATGAATTTATTTGCAAATTATGGTGGAAAATAAGTATTTGGTCACCTACAAACAAGCAAGATTTCTGGCTCTCACAGACTTGTAACTTCTTCTTTAAGAGGCTCATCTGTCCTCCACTCGTTACCTGTATTAATGGCACCTGTTTGAACTTGTTATCAGTATAAAAGATACCTGTCCACAACCTCAAACAGTCACACTCCAAACTCCACTATGGCCAAGACCAAAGAGCTGTCAAAGGACACCAGAAACAAAATTGTAGGCCTGCACCAGGCTGGGAAGACTGAATCTGCAATAGGTAAGCAGCTTGGTTTGAAGAAATCAACTGTGGGAGCAATTATTAGGAAATGGAAGACATACAAGACCACTGATAATCTCCCTCGATCTGGGGCTCCACGCAAGATCTCACCCCGTGGGGTCAAAATGATCACAAGAACGGTGAGCAAAAATCCCAGAACCACACGGGCGAACCTTTTTTTTTGTGGCTTATTTCTGGTTTGTTTCACATAAAGAAATATTTTGCATCTTCAAAGTGGTAGGTATATTGTGTAAATCAAATGATACAAACCCCCCCAAAATCCAACAAAATAGGAAAAATGCCGGGGGGGTGAATACTTTCGCAAGCCACTGTATAAGGAAATCAGTCAATTGAAATAAATTAATTAGGCACTAATCTATGGATTTCACATGACCTGGCAGGGGCGGAACCATGGGTGGGCCTGGGAGGGCATAGGCCCACCACTTGAGAGCCAATCAGAATTAGGTTTTCCCCACAAAAGGACTTTATTATAGACAGAAATACTCCTCAGTTTCATCAGCTGTCCGGGTGGCTGGTCTCAGGTGAAGAAACCAGATGTGGAGGTCTTGGGCTGGCGTAGTTACAAGTGGTCTGCGGTTGTGAGGCCGGTTGGACGTACTGCCAAATTCTTATCGTAGAGAATTGAACATTTAATTATCTGGCAGCAGCTCTCGTGGACATTCCTGCAGTCAGCATGAGAATTGCAAAGCTCCCTCAAAACTTGAGACATCTGTGGCATTGTGTTGTGTGACAAAACTGCACATTTTAGAGTGGCCTTTTATTCTCCACAGCACAAGGTGCACCTGTGTAATGACCATGCTGTTTAATCAGCTTCTTGATATGCCACACCTGTCAGGTGGACGGATTATCTTGGTAAAGGAGAAATGTTCACTAACAGGGATGTAAATACATTTGTGCACCAAATTTGAGAGAAAAACGCTTTTTCTGCATATGGAGAATTTCTGGGATCTTTTATTTCAGCTCATGAAACATGGGACCAACACTTTAAATGTTGCGTTTACATTTTTGTTCAGTAGATATTCCCATACAGGTCAAAATGTAAGCTCCTTAGTAGTTGGCACATCCTGAATGTTTGCCTAATTATCCTCACACAGGATAATTTAAGAAATGGAACACTAGTCACTTTAATAATGTTTACATATCTTGCACTACTCATCTCATATGTATATACTGCCGTCTATTCTATAATATTCTACTGTATCTTAGTCCATGCCGCTCTGTCATTGCTTGTCCATTCCTTACTAGTTTTGTGTGTATTGGGTATATGTTGTGACATTTTTAGATATTATTTGTTAGATAGTACCGCACTGTCGGAGCTAGAAGCACAAGCATTTCGCTACACCCGCTATAACATCTGCTAAACACGTGTATGTGACAAATAACATTTGATTTTATTTGAAATGATAGCCTTGAACTCCAAACTGAATCATACTACATTCCACTACTGTTTAATTTCACTAATAGAAGTTAGATATCATATTGTTGCCCTTCACTCACATAGAAAATAACAGAAGGGAGAGAGACTGAAACAACATTTGTCACGCCCTGGCTCTGGGGACT